ACATCACTGAATTATTCTTTTTATAAAGAAAAAGCCGCCTTCACTGGCAAAGGAGCCTTATCCTCTAAAAGTAACCTGCCAAAACCTGAATGAGCGGTCATTCCCCCAGTTTTAGACTTGACAGGGGCCAGAAGAGAAGCCCCACTTGTTGATTAATGACTGTGTGGCAGGAAGACAAAAGCACAAGCCCGTCTGTCAAGCAAGGAACTTAAACTAAGCAAATAGGCTTGGATACAATTTCAGTGCAACATGTCATTGCCTTTATAATAACAACCTGTGCACCTAAGAAAATTATTTAGAACCTGCTTTATAATCGTAGAAGCTGGAAGCTCCTTCTGGATGGAGGCCAGAACAGCCAACCATTTACTGTACTTCCCTGTTTTCTTGTTACAAAAATTTTATTTAAAAGAAGGCATAGAGCTTGTTGAAACGTTTACCTTTTACAGCAGTTCCTTCATACAGCCTCTCCCACAGCAGCCATTCCCCCCACCCCAGTGTCTCAGAAGGTATTTAAGCAGCATCTCTTCTGAGGAAAAATGCCCCTTCCCCCACTGCCATACATGCCCAAAAAAAAAATCTAGCTGTGTTATTGACATTTGTTTCAACCAAAGGAAAATGCAAGCTTTTACTTAGTCATAGCAAACAGAATCTTTTAATGACTGCAACCAAACAAAGAGAAGAACTCCAGTTAGCTCTCACTTTTTTTTCGGGGGGGGGGGGTGTCTCCAGTGCCATTAAAGCAGGATTTACAATTGTTCTAACATGGGGAAGGGTGGGGGAAGGAAACCCATTCAGCCAGCAGAAAAGGAGCAGAGACAGAGCAAGAAATGGGATGGGAGTGAAATGAAGGGTGAGAGAAAGCAAATAATAATAATAATATATATATAGTGTTATAGTTATAAAACCTTCATTCTTTTCAATCTTGATTGATTTTATTCTACAAAATGATAATACTCCATGAAAACTGTAAAAGCATGACCCATCATTTTAGTATGTTCTTTCTTAGCAGCAAACTTTCCCAAATCAGCTTCCATATAATTGTTTTAATCATTGTGGGTTTTAGTGCAAATACGATAGGTCTGTATTACAAGGAAATGAACAATTGACAGTATAGGCAAGCTTCTCCACTGTAGGAAGAGCTATAAAAATTATAAGGATTTCAATTTGGTCATTTTAAAGAACTTTTGACAGTTGTTTCACCCTAAAGTAAGCGGGTGGGACTAAAAATGTTTAAGGGAAAAAAATTAATATGGCACACCCAAACATTTATTGATCTCTGTGGTTTTGCAGCACAAATTGGGTTACTTAGGTCACTTCCTCTACCAAGGTTATCACGAGTGTAGTTACATACATCTAATGTGAGTGCATTTAGAATCACAGCCATGTAAACAGAATGAGAGTCAGACCCTTTTGTCTTTAGGGATCTTAATGCATTCATCCATTTACACTAGGAAAACTATTGTGCTAATGAAGATGCACCATCTTTCACCAAAGTTACTCAGGACTACACAGTAGAATTTATATATACAACACTGCATCTGCTCACTGAGCAAAGACAAATCTGCAGTCTATTTTCTACACATAATTCAATATTTTTCCACATCAAACAGTCACCAACATGAAAGTGAACCAACTTTTTAATTGTACAAAGTGGAAAAGAAGAAAACCATTTCATAGGACTGAAAACATTGATTCATCTCTTGTATTCCAAGACAGTTCTTCCAGCTCCATCTACTACTTGCAGAAGATTGATAATGCATCTTTAGAAACAAGTATCTCTTTATACATTTTATACAGGATGGATCCTATAGATAAGGATGCTTCCAAATTTCCCTCCCTCTGTATTTCCTCCCCTCTGCTCAGATTTAGTGGTTCTGATTCACCATACTATGATCACAGAGAAACAACAATATGTTTTCCTTCTGCTTGGCTTTCCACAATTTCAAAAGACCATATTGCTCTTGCCATAGCTTTTCATTCCTTTAGTTTACATGCTTCCCCCCTCCCTGCATAGGTAAACCATGCATATGTGCAGTCTTGAGTACCAACACACCAGGGAATTATATTGAGCTTTTTAAGCATGAAAGACATTTCTCTTAGTCAATTACATGATAGTTTACAAGATCACAGCACCATCCTAAGAAGAGGTATCTCCTTCAGAGTTCACTGAAGGGTGTAACTTTGCTTAGGATGGTACTGTTGATTAACTAACACGCCTTGGGCATGATGGCTTGATATCTGCCCTCACAGTCGTTGTTGTTGTTTTTTTAAAAGCCTGAATCTTTTATTTGTTCTTATAGCAAAATATGTAAGGTTGTACCCTTAAGCAAATGGGCAGCCATGTACACTAAGACTGGTACTTATATATTGTTATCTAAAACAAACAAAAGTGTTACCATGAGTACCATCATATGGTAGAATTTAAAAACAACAACAATAGCCCTGCAAGGTGTTTTAATACACACTGTCATTTTACTTAAACAGAAAACTATTCACATGAATGAAAAGAACAGAGGTCCATGACAAGAGCAAATTGCACACACCATTTCTGAAATTAATGTAGAAACATTCCATGTAAATGCAGAAGATAGGCACAGCAGAAAAAAACTGCAGAAGAGCTGTGAACTGGAAGGGGGAGGAATCTCTCCACCCCTACCCTTAGATAATATATTTTATAAAGGAAAGGAAAATCAGTATTTTTTTAAAGAAATCAACAGGGGAAAGGTATAGATTTTTTTAATGCTCTCTTTTTAAAATCCAAAATTGAGGCAGAAAAAAGTTGTAAACATTATTTATAGATTATATATATAAATAAGAAAACAAAAACAAACACATGATCATTCGCACCCTCTCAAAATATTCAGCCCACCCAATTGAATGAAAATAATTTTGGAAGTTTTTTTTTATGTAGCAGAATTTCATTTTGGCATTAAAAACCAGGAACACAAGTTAAAGGAATGTTACATGAATAGTGGGCAGATTTGCTGGAGCAGACACAAGAAGTGTTTGCCAGCCAATAAATAATGAGAAACACGAGAGAGTGTTTTTAGGATGAAGGCCAGGAGGAACAGGAAAAAAGCAGCATGCTGGTAGGTTCAAATAAAGGCAATAGATTAATTAAATAAAAATATGTTAAGGTGGGAGGGGGAAACTACTGATATCAACATAATAGCCCAGACCCTGTTACTCTATCACAAGCACATTGCAGGTTTAAGAGCACAATCCCTTAGAGCAATGGGGCCATGCTACATTAGTAGGGCTAGGGCAAAGCATATTGAAATGAACAGAGATCATGCAGCAATAAGTGTGCATGGGGTGGACTGTGCTATAAATCAAATAGAGGAGTGAAGTACAAAGTTGGAATGAATGGGAAACAATTATTTAAGCAAAAAATTAGTGTTGGGAGACAAACAGATGTTTCCTTTCCTACTAGGCTTTCTCAGAAATATTCCAAGGTAATGAATGGCGACATCCCTATTTATCAAGTTACTTGCATGTTGTTTTAACCTGTACATGGGCAAATAATTGTTGGATCAGAGACCCAACTATTGGAGCATGAATCCCACAAAGCTTAGAAAAACTTGGGTGTTGCCTCAGTTGCAAAATTTCCTTAGTCCCTGTCCACGTAAGCAGTGTCATATTATCCCCGGGGTGGGGGGCTTGTAGAGTTGCAGGTGTCATGGAAAACTGCAGCTTTCATGGGGCTCCCAACTCCCTAGCTAAATTAATCCTTCCAGGATGCCACCTGCAGGTCTCATACCAATTCCTAAATCCAGATCTATCCCTTCTGTCAGAGCAAGAGCAAGCAGGAGCATTCAACAAGGTTCCATCAGGCCAAAGCTCCCATCACACACACCTGTAGCCAGAGCTCCACATTTGTAGCACACGGAAAAAGGTGCAACATGCTTCTTCACATATACAAGTTTACACATTAATACAAGGATAACTGGAAGAAAAGCAGAATCTGGAGTTCAAGGTAGATTCGCACAGCAGAATAGGATATTGGCCCGAATATGAATACATCCTAAAGCAATTGTAAGAGTGAACTGAACTAATTGGGCTCCAACAAGCCAGCTTGCGGAGGAGAGATATGGCTTGGTTTGATTGTGTGAATCTATCTGAAGCAGAGACGAAAACAAGTCCCAGTGAAATCCAACAACCCCCGACCCCAGCAAAGGCAAGCCACTGCTGCTAGGCCCAGGGAAGAATATGCAAGCCTACTGATACAAAAGAAAAAGCTGAGGGATCACCTGAAAAGGTATCTGGCATTATAAAAGACTGCGGAATCTGGACATTCATCTGAGTCTCCCTCTCTTTTGAGAGGGCACTCTTCTGTGAAGGTGGCCTATCACTCATCCTAGTTGCATCAAGGCAACCATGTTCTAAATATGGCCTTTTACACAACAATTTTGTGCTACTTCAGGAAGTGGTTGCTAAATGATTGCCACCCATTATGTTATCCAGTTCTTTCTTGTAAGTGGCCTTTGACCAGCTTGGGCTCCTTGACCCCAGCGATCTGCAGCCAGAACATGGAGGGCCCTGCATGTTGCCATCTGTCAAACACCACCACACACATACTTGGAGACCACAGAACATTTCAGAGAACATATTCCCCTTCTGCCAATAATTCTTTGATTTACAAGCCTGGCACAGCAGGTGCCTCAGTTGTCTTGAGCCTCCAGTTTTCCAAGAATCACTAAGACAAACAGGCAATCTGGTTCAAATTGGCCTAGTGTGCAGTGGCATGGGCTGAGAACATGGCACGGTGATTTTTAAAAAAAACTGTTCGCCCAGGCAGTGAAAAGCTTCTTTTTTCTTTTTTTTTGCATACCAATGACTTCTGTTCAAAAGGTTCTGATGTTATTTTTAAAATGGGTGCAAGTCCAGGTTCTCTGCCCATTCTACTGAGAGCAGAATCTTCCCTGAGCCACTAAACAGATGCTTAGAACTGGATCACTAACAACAGCATAGTGTAGAGCAGGATCTGAAGAAAATGTGTTTTTTTTGGGGGGGGTGGAGGAATTGCATGTAGAAACAAGTCACGGCCAGAACTGTGTTGATTCCAGGCTTTAAGTGATCCTGCTACTACATACAGAATTTGGTATCAGATACAATGATCAGCATCCAGAAACCTGGTTCTCTCACTTTTATTTTTTGAAAGTTACTGATTTTTATTGCTGTAAAAAAGAAGCTTGAAAAGACGTAGGTAATGCCTGATAAGGTTTCAGAGGCCAGAGGGCTGCTAAGCAGGAAGGCCAGTGGCCGGAGGTAGAGCTTCAGTGCTCTGCATAGCTCCTGTCTCCTCATGGCTACTATTGGCAGAATAAATAATGCAAAATATTGTACACCCAAATTTGCATGTTTTATTCAGGTCACAGATTTTGACCTTTTTTTTAAATAGAAAAGTCTCAGTCATTCTCAAAACCATCCGAGCATATCTATCCCCCTTTGCACTAAGCTGCTGACTGGAAAATATGGCTGTGATCCTGGTCCATTAAAATCAATGGGAATTTGGTCACCGACTTCATTGGAAATACTTGTGAGAATTCCCTGGCTATGAAGCCAAAGCCGCAGTGCAGAGATGCTCACCAACGGAGTTAAACATGGCTTGAAGATGTTCTCGCAGCTCAGAAATCTGGTCCTTAAAACAGCACAAATGAGATTACGGATCCCTCAACCACCAGGCACCCAAAAAAGAAAACAGTGGAAACCTGCACATAAATACACTCATCACGGGGACCCTCAATGGGTTGGATTAAATCAGATGTTCTAAGTATAACAGAGTTAAACAAAGCCAGACTCTGCTATATGGAAGATCTGGCACACCTCCCCGAGATTCATTGGTTTGGCTCTCTACAAAACCAAGCAGCTGCACAGTCTAAATGCAATTGTCTTGAAGGGGATTTTGCCTTGGCACAGAGAGAGATGACTGGAGTGAAGCATGCTACCCATTTCAGTAGTGAGCACAGGTTTTCCAAACAGCAAAGTCCGTTTGGATGTGCAGGAACCAAGCTTAGGAGGAGACCAAGAGAAGGCATAAGAATCATTTTCCTCTGGTTTTCTAGAGAATTGGGGGGGGGGGAGAGACAGGCCTGAAACAATCAGATTAGCAACATATAAGACTTTGGCCAGAAACTGACGTGTAAAATATAGCAAAAAATAAGAGAAATTCCCCAAGGGAGCCCCCAGGTCCTTTCCTGCAGTATCAACTTCAGTGAATCCCTTCCCTGGACCAGTCACAAGAGAAGAGTGGCAGCAGAGCACTGCTGAAGAGCTAGAGTCTGTAGATGGGGGGAGTCAGTCTGTGTTCAAGAAACGGCACCGGCATCTGAGTCAGGCGCACTGATGAGGAGGATGCATCACACCCAAGGTGGCTGGCAGCCAAAAGGAAAGGAAACACAGGGTCCAGCAACAGATTTGACAAACACTAATTACAAAAGAAGCTATGCCAATAACAAAGGCTGAGTGGAAACCAACTCTGGCATCTCCTCAGCTCCCTTGGCATCACTCCTGGCCCACTTACGAGGCGTGTTGAAGACATGGCCCTTTCAACACACCACGGAACCAAGCCTCCCTCTCTCCACATTCCCTGTCCTTCAAAGAGACCTTCTCCTTTTGTTAACAGAATATCCAGCATGTTGGATTTATTTTGGCCCCACCCCCTGCTCCACTAAGATGTTGGGGATGTAACTTTTAAAGAATGATTTGGACTTGTTATTTATTCCTCTCATCTCCATCATCATCATAATCTACTCAAAACTACTTAATAATAGCAAGAATTCCCAATAGGCAGACCCCCCACACACACACACACATCAGCAGCGGTTTAACGACAATTGCAACAAGCCTTTAGAGTTTTCGAAATGTCATGGCATCCAATAAAAATAAAAGGTGAAGACCTACATGAGATCAACTAACTGGAATGTACTACTAAGCACAGAGCGTAACCTGGTCAGACCAGTCCATTCATCAGCATAACAGGAGAATGGCAAGTGATTTACTGAAGCTCACATCCACTCCTGGCCAAGAGCACACTAAATTGTGGGGGAATTCCTCCCTGCTCACCGTATAGTCCAAACACTCGGCTCCCAGTAGTGTGACTTCCGTCCTAGCCCCCCCCCCAATCCCTATATGGTTTTCATTTGATCTGGTTCTTCCTATCCCAGGAAGTACCTGGGGGGTACACTGTTTCCCCATGTTGTTCTTGCACCCCTTGTGCTTGAAGGCCATTGTGCTGGTCTTTGATTTCAATGAGGGGCTTCCCCCAGAGTAATGGGGTAGAGTGGTGGCAAAAGGGAGGAGGTTACAGTGCCAGCAGAGTTGGAGAGTTCAAGGAATCTGAGGACTGGTCGCCACTGCTGCTGCTCCTCCGGTGAGCTTTGGAGCAAGACTCCGAAGGGGAGAGTGGAGACTCCTGGTCCAGCACACTGGGGTAGGTGAAGACCAAGTTAGATGTGCCAGGAGTGATGGCAGGTGTTGAGGTCACCACAATGGGAGTGTTGAGAGGCTCTTCTCCATAAAAGGCTCCTACAATGCTGATGGGTTTAATGACAGACCTCTGCCCTTTCTCCAGGTCAGAAGATGAGGAGGGAATCTCTTCCTCCACTGGCTCCTGCTTCACTACTATGGCACCACTCAATCCAGTCCGGACTGTCTGGAGGCTGTGAGGAGGTGGGGTTCGGCGCTCCTCAGGGCTGATCTTGCACATAGGACTGTGAGCCATCAGCATGAACTTCAGCTTCTCCTTCTCTTTCTCCAGTTCAGCAATCTCCTTCTGCAACAAAGATTTCTCCTCCTCCAGCTCCTCTGTTTCCTGTGAATTCAAAAGAAATAAGCAGTCATCAACCTGCCAGTAGTCGAAGCAGAAAGTACCAAAGAGAGAGAAACAAGACCAATAAGAAATCTAAAACCTCTAAACATTTTATACAACAGAAATAAATATTTCTGATGTCTAAATATCATATTTTGCAGCAAAAGCAGCAAAGTGATGCTTTCCTGAACAAATACAGGCTGTTCAGTATCCCTGGAGACTTGTAGGCCTAGGTGCAAGGCACAGCATCTACTCGGAAGAGTGACTCCGTATCATCCACATGTGCACGCACTCTTGACAGACATTGTATCCGTAAGAGGTAAGGATCAACATAAGGGAGAAGTTAACTAGCTCTCACCCCTTTCTTACATTGGGACACACTGTGTAAGAAAACCCGGACAAAGCAGGGCAGATCTACCTCACAGTTCATATTCTTAACCATTACGAAGTGCTTAAGGCAAAGAGAGCTTTGATTCTATAAAGTTTATACCCTGAAAACCTTGTTGGGTCTCTAAGGAGCTACTGGAATCTAGCTTAACTACTCCTGTGTTTCTCTGGATCACCTTCTCATACCCAACGTCCTTCAATAAGGCCACTTTCCTCAAACCTGTATACAAAAACTTTTAAGAAGGTTAATTCTGAATTGCCCAAGGAAAAGAGGAAACATCTACGTGTGGAATACTTACTGCCTGGAGTTTCTCTGTCAGCTCTCGGCGTCTGTTGCGGCATTTGGCAGCTGCTAGCTTGTTCCTCTCTCTTCTAATCCTTCTCTTCTCCTCTTCTTCAGGAGACAACTGTAACCATGCAAATGGAAGAAAATATCAAATGGGGCGGGAAAGTTCCACACCACACTAAATTACAGTGAATGTATCCGGTGAGCTCCACAGCATCTTTGAACTCTCAGGGATACTCACCATTCTTTGTCGATTACAAAATGGTTCTCTAAAAAGACACCATCGCCAGTTTGATGCCAGCTAAAGCACTTCTTCCCCTCCCTTGTAAAATGTAGCTATTATGCATTCCCCCACCACCACGTGCCACACTTGCATGCATGTCATTACTTTTTAGGAATTTTGCTAAAGAACTAAAATGTTAACCTTGGCCTTTGGGCAGAAATCATGTACAAAAACAATGTTGGGATATTTATCGACATCGATAATATATTAATCACATTTTTCTCTTGTCCTTCTTCTAAGGAGCTGAAAATGGCACACAAGGTCACTTGCTCCATATAATCCTTTCAACAACCTTATGAGGTAGGCTCGGCAGAGAGAGACTAGCTCAAGGTCACCTAGTGAACTTCACGCTTCGAATGGCGATTTGAAACTCGGTCTCCTCAATCCCAGTCTGACACACCAACTACTGCAACACACAACACCCTATTCACATGTTACAGTGAATACACATATATCCTGCAGGTGCATAATGTGTTTGCAAGAAAGAGCCCGCATGTGTTCCCTTAACCGGGGCCCAGTACCTGGATCAATGAGGGGTTTAAAAATCATGAGCATGAAAATTACTCAACACACATATGAAGAAAAAAATCCAGTGTATACTCTACATGGACTGTATGGACATATGAACAAGGCAATAACTGGTTCTCCTTTTTGTGTTTTAACCTGTTGCAGTTACCCTAAAGGCTAACAAATGTATAGTGGCATAACCCTGCGTGAGCCAGAGCTCAGTTCATCATATTATATAAGATATTAGGTACAGCTGGCAGATTTTATATATGTATACAAATCTAGAGAGGAGAAAACATTACAAGGCCAGAAAGCCCAGCAACACAAAAGACAGGAATGTCACATTAGAACTGAGAGGTGACAAATGGAAACACAGCCAAAGCTTGGCTCACCCATGTAGGAGAATGAGGTGGGAAAGAATGGTCTACACTACGTCTGATGGCAGATATTAGAAAGCTCCTGTCAGACTCCGGTTCGCCTTTTACAATGCTACCTGTACCTGTAGTGTCATTACCTGCTTCAATGTAACCGCACCCCGTCCCTTCTCCCCCTCCTCATCCCCCAGCTGCAGCAGATGTATCTAGCCATCCGCTTATCGCTCACCCTGGCTGACATTCCTGGGGGGAGGGAGGGAGTCTGTGTGAATGTCTGTAGTTTAGGGAGGCAATGCAGTAACCACTTTCTCAAGTAGTACCTCGGGAGTATTCTCATGGGAATGTCCTTGAAGATAAGACTTCAAATAGCTATTTGAACCATTGTATCTGTCTGGGTTCTTAGGACTTCTTACATTTATGAGTGCGTGACGTATGACTGGGATGTGGGTTTTAGTTATACACTAGGTCCCCGCCTTTGCCCCTCATTCCTGACAAAGAGTTCACCTTTACAGTATCTCAAATCGCTTCAATAAACTTTCTCTTAAGAAAGCTCGTGTTCGAGAGTGAGTTAACTGGAGGCCTGACAGATTGTCAGGAATCCCCCATTTCTCCTTCCTGACATCCCACTATCATGATGGGGAACAGAGAGGGAGACGGTGGAGCAGGGACCAGTACCGGATCTGAACCTGAGTTGCCTGGTCCTGACCCCCAGAAGAAGAAGGGGGTTATTGTTTATCTGGATGATGTGTTAGTGTACACACAAGACATGAATCCACATGTGAAGTTGGTGCGTGAGGTGTTGACTGCCCTATATGACAACCATCTGTTCACCAAGCTCTCAAAGTGCAAGTTCCACAAAACAGAGATAGACTTCCTAGGGTACTGCATAACCCGCAGGGACTGGGGATGGACTCCAAGAAGGTGCAGGATGTGGTGGGATAGGAGCCTCCTAAAACCTGAAAACAGCTCCAAAGCTTCTTAGGGTTTGCAAACGTTTACCATGCATTCATCCCTCAATTTGCGCAGGTGTCACTCCCCCTGACTTATTAAAGACTAAAGGAAAGGGGCCGGAAGCGACCAAAGGAGGGAGTAAACTCGAATGGTCCCCTGGTTGCCAAAGGGCTTTCAATGACTTAAAACTCTTGTTCACTCTGGAGCCCAACTTATATCACCCCGACGAGAGTAAGGGGTTTATTGTCCAGGTGGACACTTCCGATGTGGCCATGGGAGGGGGATGATGGCAAACTGCACCCCCTCGCTTATGTCTCGAAGAAATTTTCGGGGGTCAAACGTAATTGGGCTGTTTGGGATAAGGAAGCAGCGGCAATGAAGCTGGCCCTCACTACTTGGTATCATTGGTTGGAGAGGGCGCGGGTGCCTTTTGAGGTGTGGACTGACCATAAGAACTTAGAGGTGCTCAGAACCCCCCGCCGCTTGAACGCTAAGCAGTTCTGGTGGGTGGAATTCTTTTCTAAGTTTCAGTTCACCATCAAGTACCTCCCCCGGAAGTCCAACTTTTTGGCCGATGGCTCTTGCCTACCTCAACATGCAAGTTAACGGGATGAGGTCACTGACATGGTTTTTCCCCCACCCAGTTGGGGGGGGGGGCGGTGGTGACACGTAGCCAGGCAAAAGTGGGGAGGGAGATGGAAGTTATGGACTGGTTGGAAAGTTTCAAAGCTGCTTTTTTGCCTCAAGATTTAGAGGTGGTGGTGCATGAAGGTTTACAGCCCCAAGATAATGGCAGTTGGTGTAAAGGGGGGGAAGGTGTATGTACCCATCTCCCTGAGAGGGACAGTGATGGCACAAAGTCATGACAACAAACTGACTGGACACTTCGGGTTTTTGAAAACCTTACACCTATTGCAGAGACAATTTTGGTGGCCAGGATGGTGCAAAGATGTTTCAAAGTGTATAGCCACCTGTCAAGCCTGTCTAATGAGTAAACGAGGGGGGAGGTTAGGTTCCCAGGCAACTCCACCCTTTGGAAACCCCGAATGTCCCTGGTCGGTGATCTCCATGGATTTTATAACTGACCTACCAGAGAGTCAGAGAAAGACTGTGGTTTGGGTGGTGGTGGACCTATTCTCAAAGCAAGCACATTTTGTACCTTGCAAGCAAATCTCCACCGCAAAGCATCTAGCCTCCCTGTTTTTGCAGTACGTGATAAGATTACATGCTTTGCCAAAAAAGGTCATTTCCTACCACGGAGCTCATTTCATTGCTAAGTTTTGGAAAGAGCTCGTAAAACTACTGGGCATAGAGTGGGGGCTGAGTAGCAGCTACCACCCTTAGACTGACAGACAGACCGAGCGCACAAATCAAATACTTGAACAAGTGTTAAGGTGCTATGTGAACTACCAACAGGATAACTGGGTACCCCTTTTGCCATTCGCGGAGTACAGCTATAATAATTCCTTTCACAGTTTCATTTGCATAAGTCCTTTTAAGGCAGTACATGGATATGAAGGGGGGGCCCTTCCCACGGTCGACCTTGCTGAACCTATCAAGGATGATGCCCAGTTATGGTGGTCAAATGTAACTAAAAACTGGGATGTATTACAAAAGTCCTTAGAGAAAGCCAAAGCAGATTACAAACATTATGCTGATGGGGAAAGGAGCCCTGAATGGGACTTAGCTCCGGGAGACTCTGTCTACGGATCTACCAAGCATTTAAAGGGGCTGCAACCCCGAAGGAAATTAGGTTGGAAATATGTAGGCCCTTTTAAGGTGGTGCATGTGATTAACAAGGTCGCTGTAGAACTCGATCTCCCCAAAACGTTAGTCATTTGCATCTTGTGTTTCATTTCAGCCTATTAAAGAAAGATGCGGGACCCTCTCCCTGGGCACAGCGTCCTCCAGCTCCACCTCCTCTTCTGATAGATGGGGAACTCCACCATGTTTTGGAGGAGATCCTTGATTCCTGCCTGAAGTGGGGCCAATAGTACTACTTGGTGAAATGGAGAGACGTTGGACCTGAGGAGCATGAGTGGGTGAAAGTCAAGCATGTCAATGCACCCAAGCTGGTGCACAGATTCCATCGTCATCATCCTGATAAACCGGGTGGGGGGTGAGTTGGGGGGGCAGTATGTCAGACTCCGGTTTGCCTTTTACAATGTTACCTGTACCTGTAGTGTCATTACCTGCTTCAATGTAACCGCACCCCGTCCCTTCTCCCCCTCCTCATCCCCCAGCTGCAGCAGATGTATCTAGCCATCCGCTTATCGCTCACCCTGGCTGACATTCCTGGGGGGAGGGAGGGAGTTTATGTGAATGTCTGTAGTTTAGGGAGGCAATGCAGTAACCACTTTCTCAAGTAGTACCTCGGATTATCATGGGAATGTCCTTGAAGATAAGACTGAATGGCTAGTTGAACCATTGTATCTGTCTAGGTTCTTAGGACTTCTTACATTTATGAGTGTGTGATGTATGACTGGGATGTGGGTTTTAGTTATACACTAGCTTGTCGAGATTCACCCACAGCAGTGCATGCCTTTGCCCCTCATTCCTGACAAAGAGTTCACCTTTACAGTATCTCCAATCTCTTCAATAAACTTTCTCTTACAAAAGCTCATGTTTGAGAGTGAGGTAACTGGAGGCCTGACAGCTCCCCAGGTTGAAAATTCCCTGTAAAGAGAAAACCACCACAGCAAGCAAAGAAAGGGGCAGGAATCTTTCTCCTTGCTCTGCTGGCTTTTTGATGGCATGGAGTTTTGTTTCAAAACTGGAATCCATTGCTTCTAGTCTGAAGGGGTGCCATCCATTTGACCACCTCAGGGTTCTGCCTCCTCATTTTCCTGCATGTGTGAACCAGGCCTAAGTGACACAGTCAGAGTGAGTGTGGACCAGTCCCAACTTGTAGAAAACTGGCAAAACAAGTGTACATAAAACCTCTAAAGAGACACAGTTACTTTCCGTAGCACCTACAGCAGATTACTTTGAGGCAAAATGATGCAG